TCCCTACACTACGAATTTCGAGATTTTACCTGTCATTTTCTCGTACGTTTAATCTATTTTATTTTCACGCTCGTCATTTTTTTCAAATATTTCATGAAAATAAAATACCAAATAATATATACTTTTAACCAAAATTAAATGAATCCAAACGCTATTTAATAAATTCAAATCAAATATTAAAAATAACTATAAAATTTTAAAAAAACATTTTATTTCGAACCAAACTGATAAAAATCAATTATATATAATTTTTACAAATCTTAAAAAAAAATCTAAAACGGAATCAATCCCAAACTAACGGGCAGGAAGAAAATAGGTGATGAGATAAATATGAAATGGGCTTAGTTTATATTCATCATTTTATGAGATGTTTTCACGTGTAAGATTTTTGCATTCCAGGCGTTCGATACAATGCCTCAACGAAGATGATTTTGAAGTTCATTCATAAAATCGCTACTAATCTTAGAAATTCCGATTTACAATCCCTAATCTTCACCAAAACATGCATAATTCAACTTAACCACACTTGATAGTTGATACCTCTGATTAAACCTCTGCTTCAGAAAACAAGCTCCCTCGAAAGGCTTGGAAAGAGTCAGGATTCGTCATCTTCTTCATCGTCGACACCATCTCCTCGAAACCCACCGCCCAATTCGCAAACCCTGATCCAGACATCTTCCTCTACCGGCACCACCGACAACCTCGGCTGCCGGAAAAGCACGAAGCCCTTCAACCCTTCATCTCCCTTCATCTCCTTCAGATCGACGAACCTCCTCATTTCCCCCACCTCTCTCACGTCGACCGAGCCATCTCCGCCGCCGTCCCCGTCGTCTTCGGTGTACCACTCACGCGTAACCTCCACGACGCCGACGACGCACCTGGATTTGGCGCCGGAGTGGTAGAAGAAGCAGAGATCGCCGACGGTCATGGACTTGAGATGCTTCTGGGCTTGCTTGTTCTTCACGCCGTCCCATTTGGTGAGTCCACCGTTCTCTGCCTGGTCCGACCACGACCACTCCCCTGGCTCCGTCTTCAGCAACCAATACCTCTTCGCTTTCCCCATTTCTCCTCACCGATTCGAGTTTTGTTTTTTTAATCTTTAATATTCGATGCCCCTTTTTCCCCTCCCCCGGGAAGCTGAAAATTCAAAATAAAAATTTCACTCATATTTTATTCGTAAATTTAAATTTGTAAAAGGCCCAATAATAAAGATGGGCTTTAGATCCACTCAGAAGCCCGAGCCTAAATCTATAATAATAGGCTGAGGCCCATTAAGGTTACGTGGAAATTCAGGGGAGAGGAAAAAACATAAAAAAAATAGGCGAAAAGCTTCCGAAACGATATTTTCTGCTTCTCTGTCTATAAATATTTTGCTCCGAAGCCTTGGCATTCTCCATCTTCTGATTTCTCTCCCAGTAAAGATTCCTCCTTTTTCTGATTTCTTGCAACCCAAGCTTGAAATTCTCTCTAGGTTTGCACAAATACCATCATAGATTCATGTATACGACTGTGTATTCAAAAGTTTCTGGAGTTCAGAACTGTTTTTTATGGAAATTGTCTGGTGTGCTAGTTCTACTCATCCATGTCTGATTCTGTTTCGTGGGTGTTCCACAGAACCGACAAACTTTGACACTTTGGGCAAGATTTTGGCTTTGTATTGTTGCTTTTATTTGTAGCTTTGGTGGTTGTTTTTTTTGGTAGATTCTACTCTGCAGGAACTTGCTTTGTTCATAACCGAATCGTTGTTTGGACTTATAATATATGCTTCTACTCGTGGTATCAGGAATCGTTTTCCTTATCCCCCTTGTTTTTATAGGAACATTCCTTCGTATAAATAAAAACCTTTTGGATTAGTCTCCATTGAGATGTCAAATGTTTTGGATGTTGTCTTTAGAGTTCTAAAATGATAAATCCTGGTTTTCATGCTTATTCTTGGGCTTTGGTTCTGCTTAAAATATCACTTCTCTTGATTTCACATGAAAATGTTGCAAACAGAGATTTAACAGCACATGGAGAATGTTAATGTACTATTGCCTATGGTTATTATGGTGTTTTTTGGTAAGTTGACACTGATTCCGTGACTTGGGAGAGCTTTGTTGCTATTCTACTATTGGTGTTTTGGTGGGTTTAGCCTTCATTCTTTTTGTTTTTTCAATGTTGGTTGTAGGGATTTTCCGAATCAGTTGCATTGATGCTCGGTTTTTCCTGGTCGTGGATTCTTACAAAGATGCTTTAAAATAAAACAGACTCACTGTTTGCAAAATCAGAACCTCAAAACTGTTGGCATGTTAAAATAAGGACAAGTTTTCAGTTTGGTTTTTGCTGTGATATCTCGGGTGATGTAACTGTAAACTAAGCTTGTCTTAATCCTGGGGTGGGGGAAAGAGGCATTTTCTTTGTTGCAATTGATCAGAACAGGCTACTTTCTGAACCCATTTGTGCTGAGAATGCAGTCATAGGATAGTGTTTCCCTTAGTGTTCTATGCTTGGAGCATTTTATATATCTCTATGTTTGGAAATTCGAATATGTTTCTTTGATGTGTTTAGCATGAGCCCTTCCAGTTCTTGTAACTCATTATGATGACTCGAAACATTTCGTTTTCGTTTGGATCAACTCGAGCCAAAAATCTCACAGCGTTGCCGTTAAGTTTTAACAGATCGAGTGTTGCTTGAAACGTTTCTGTGAAATGGGTTTTTTCCTTCGAAGTTCTTTTGTTTTGTGGGAATTATGTGATTTGTGGCATCTTGATATCCTTTTAACAAGAAAGGAGCTCATGGTTGTCTGTCTACAATCTTGTGCTTGAAGGATTACCAGCAAAAACATCCGAAAGTGAGCCAAGTGACCATCCTCGATCCTCAAACTGCAATACACCGAATACATAATCGGCAATCGATGCTGCAGTGTGTTGCAGATCTGAATCTGTCTGATTGTGGTGGTAACTTTTAATCCTTTTCGTTTCAAGTCCTTTCTTTCAACAGTTGATCTTGAAGCCATCCTTGGTTTGGTAATCTCTGCGGGCATAATTTGTGTTCCAAAGCAGATGGGGCTAAAATTGCCACCAGGTATCAAACTACATGCCAAAGGTTACTGGATTTATGTCAATCTGGACGTATTTCAATTGCCATTTCATGTAAGCAAGATATCTCTAAGAAACCTTGGAAAACTATCTCCTTCATGTATTGAATGGTTTCACTGTTCAATTTCTTTGTATGGCTACAAATCTTTTTTCATATATTTGCTTTCGCCGACTTGTCCAGTGGCAAAACCTCTCTTGGTTGATGGAACTGCAAAGTCGCATCAGATATTGCTAGCCTATGACCGGTTCTCGCTTTTGGAACTTGAACCCCTACTGGTCCTTCAAGAGTTTGTGAATCATGGTATTGGATTTGTCCACTTTGGATCATCCTCTGTTAAATCTTGATTGCGTTCTGTCTTGCCTGAAAAGGCGGAGTTCTGTTCAAGGTTTTCGTGGTGTTGTGAGGCGGTGTTCTCTACGGAATGTGAGCAACTGTGAAAGAGCCAAAGTTGCTGGTGTGTTTCAGTTCCTGAGGGTTTCTTCTGCTTCATCTTCTCCAGATGACACTGACTTAGACCCACGTATTGCTGGTGAGAATATGCTTCTTACCCTTTTCCTCTATCTCTCATGTACCATATCGGATGTATTCTTACGTATATATGTATGTATCTATATGTATGCATGTACTGTTGTTGGCACAGAGTTACCGCCAAGGTCATTGCTCGAGACCTTTGTCAAATGATTACAAGAATCTGACTGGTAAAGTCTTGACCTTTGGTCGGGTTTTAAATGGCGACTGGCTGCTTTCCTTCAACGTAGATATGATCCGAGAACATGGGAGCAGAGACGTGTTTTACGCCGTCGGCATCAACTGCTTTCTTGGCAAGTAATAAACCTTGCTGCGTTCAGATTTAAAGAGGTTGTCTCTTGTTTCTATATTTTGTAGTTTTTTATTTTAAATTTTTTAGAAATCTTTGATTGATTTGGATGAATTCAATCTTGTTTTTTCTGTATATTTTAAGGCTTTAATTCAATTCTTCATTTTTTTTTTGTTTCTATATTTCGTTATTAATTCAACCCCAAGAAAGGTATGATTTGGTCCAATTCAATTCTTCATTTTTTTGGGTTATTCTCTCTTGTATTTTAAGCCGTACATAATAACAAATAACCGTGTCCGGTCTAAAGGGATTTACGCCGTCGAAAATTCAGTCTTATTGTTTTCAAAAGTATAATAAATAAATTGAATACCTAGGCTATGAAAAAATACGCATTGGTTTTATGTGTAGTTTTGTTTCTGTTAAAAAAAAGAGGTTAAACTGTAAAAACAAAAAAAGAAGGTGAATTTCTGCTTGTAAAAAAAGAACTGTGGAAATATCAATGCGACGCAAAAGTGAAAAAAAGAAAATAAATATGACATTTTATTCAAATGAACTAGTTGGATCGCAGCAATTTCATGGATACACTACCAAAAAAAATTACTTTTAACCCACTTTTCGGTTAAAAAAATCTTAAATACCTTTTTTTTTTCATTTTTTTATGAATTTATTACGACTAACATATAACTGATATACAACTAAAATAATAAGTAGTTATAATCGTATAGAGATGAAAGTCTCAAATAAAATATAGTTTTTTTAAAAATTCGATAGATAATTTTTTTTGTCACTTTTTTAGAATCAATTGTAACTATATTTAGAATTAATTACGAAATCGTAATAACGAAATTGTTTTCGAACGGACAAATATCACGTGTAATTTCGTCTTTTCAATAAAAAAAAATAATTCCTTGTGTTTTTTGACGTGAAATTGCTGCGACCAACTGTGTAATTTGAGTAAAATGCCCAAATAAATATGTGAAGAAAAAGGAAAAACATTTATCCGTTGGCCGTACCACCGACCGGAGAACTACTACTGCACACATCTTCCTCGTCCGATCAACTGGAAGCGGAAGTTGCTGCTCTTCCATGGCTTTCTCACCTTCCTTCACATCACCATCAGCACGCTTAAGCGTTGTCTCCTTCTCCCAAACCCACCAATCTCTGAACCCATCTGCTTCGCTCCCGTTCTCGCCCTTGACCCGCCAAAAAACCCCTCATCTCCGTCTGGTCATCGCCTCCGCATCCAAATCACAGACGAAACAGACCGCGAGAAAGCGGTCATCGTCATCGTCATCGTCATCGTCGGTGCCTGCGAAGGGTAGTGGAAGTACAAATAAGAAGCGGAGAAGGAAGGGGAAAAGTGGGGTTTCGGGGGATGATGATTGGGATATGAGCGACGCAGAGATTGTTGAGGAAGATGATGATGGTGATTTTTCTTCGAATTCGCGGTCTCTGTCGACGTATAGTCCTCCGACAATGCCGAAACCACCATCTGGGTTCGTGATCGATGAAAGTGGTAGGGTTCTTATGGCTTCTAATAAGCGAATCGCTACCATTGTAAGTTCAATCTTCTATTCTTGCCTCCTTTTTCCTTTTTCTAGTCGCAAATTTATTGGTTCAGATTCAAACAGAGCCTAATTCTATGCTTCTGACTTCTGAGTGCCCTTTACTCTGGAAATTTGTCGGCTTCAACAGTTGAAAGTTTTATTGTGGACAGATTGATTCTACGAACAACAGCCCTTTGGATTGTGTTATAAGAAGAATATTTACGAGTTCTCGGGGAGAAGAATGCATGCTTCTATGTCCTGTTGATACGTGAGTGTTCACATTTGGTGTTTTCGCCATTGGAGTTGCTCTATTTTTGTTCCCTTTCCTTCTATCCTGCTTGATCGATTGCTTTGTGGCTCCAGACCAGTCCAGATTTTGAAGAGCACAAATATAGATGGATGGTCGGCTGTAAGTTTCTTTTCCTTGAATCTTTCTGTTCTTTGTGTTTAGCTTTCCTCGACTTAGAAGTTTTCTTACCACTCTAAAGTTCATCTGAAATCCTGTATTGTGAAGTAGGAAAAAGAAATACCGAGATTTACATTTCGTTATAATGTTGAACCAGTTGATACAGCTAAGGTTCTTGGGATCTACCATTGTTGGGATGTAGGAGAAGTCATTTTGTGCAGAATTTCATCCTTGTGGATAAAGATTGCATTTAACAGGACCTGTGTATTTAGCTCTCATTCTTATGGGTGTCGTTGCTTTTGCCTTTTAGGTCAGCGATGAAGAGGTTGAAGCTCTTCTTCCGACTGCTGCCTTTGCTCTTGCTAAAATACATATGCATCTTGTAAACAGCGGGTATGACGGTATCTGTGTTTGGAGATTATTAATCTGGAAATTTTCTTTATTCCCTTTTTTTCTTGATGTCCAATACTATTAAATGTGCTACTGTGTCTTATCAGATTTTGTTACACTGCAAGAGGAGGATTTTGCTACACAGAAGATAATGTCTTTGATTTCCGCACAGGCAATGAGCTTCCCTTCCTATTGATGTTAAGAAAGTACTTTTGATGAAAATTCTTCATCATCTATGCTATATATGCACATGGAAATGTATCTCTTTCATATTTATGGTGGTTATGAATTCGATCGAACTTCCATTTGAAATGGTATGTCAAGAATTAACACCAAACATATGAAGAAAAATCTTAAAGGAGAAAAGTGTCTGTGCTCGTATTAGGGGACTTGCATGTTTGGTAAATTCCAAATGGGATCGATCTACTTGATGATGAAACCCACTGGAGATTTTAGGTCATCCATATTTCCAGATTTTACTGTTGTGATTACGTGTTTACAAATTTCTGAACATTTGCAGATGACGGCCAAGACGTTGAAGGCTTGCCAACAGAAGGAATTGAAATTACGTGTTTCCATCTGGTATGATAACGTCAGCTGTTCTTGCTCTTGCCATCACTGCTACTTAAAACGTTAGGGAATTAGGATGGACCTGTGTCTTGCTTGGTCATAGTTTTAAGGAGCCTTAAAATATCTGGACACTCCATTTCCTCCAGAAAGGCCTCTTGGTTTTCTTTTTAAACTTCTCTTTTTGTGAAAACCATGCAAGCTTTTTTGCTACATTACAAATGTCTTTCTTTTGCTGCTGCTCCGTCTTCTATATGCTTTGCTCCGACACTAGGAAATCTGTTTTGGCTACTTCAGAATTTTAACAATTTCCGTTATGGAACTTGATTCTTTGTTGTTTTATGTTGTAAAGCATGAAACAACCATGAAACTCTGATTTTGATTTGGTGTGAACTTATCCTAGCCAATGATTCTACGACTAATCACGAATTGGTTCACTTCCTTGGAACAAGTCCAATGTTAAATGCAAACGTTATGCAGTTAAAACCGATGATTATCTTTTGTATTTGCGTTGTTAAAAGAAAATTCAGAGTCACACTTCTTCCACTTTCCTCATCTCAAATTCTATTTGGAACAGGATGGAGCCCATTACATGATCTACACACCTTCAGATCCACTTCTATTTGTTGCTGTAAAGGCAAGTTTCTAAATTTGCAGTACTTATTGTAGATTAGTATATTGTCTCCTTGAGCTGAATACGGTTTTAGTTGTTACTACCTCAAGAAAAAGGAAGAAAGAAGCTGTTGATTAGCGTATTTCGATGTAACTATATCCGGAGAAATAGACAAAATCTGATACAGGTGAATTTCATTTGCGCAGGATCAGAACGGGCAGCTACGAATTGCGGATGATGTAAGCTGAACCTTGACTATTTTCCTGTTCCGTTTTTGTTGTCCAAATGCATCTCTTCATACCCATATAGAATATCGATCTTAAACATAAGACCTTGTGGCTCTCTTCTCTTTTCCGAATCAGTTGCATTGATGCTCGGTTTTTCCTGGTCGTGGATTCTTACAAAGATGCTTTAAAATAAAACAGACTCACTGTTTGCAAAATCAGAACCTCAAAACTGTTGGCATGTTAAAATAAGGACAAGTTTTCAGTTTGGTTTTTGCTGTGATATCTCGGGTGATGTAACTGTAAACTAAGCTTGTCTTAATCCTGGGGTGGGGGGACAGGAACTCCTAGAAGATCCAGCCGTGATCAGCGCCATAGACGAGGAGACAGAATTCAATGCCTTGGTGGTATGTGAAATACATAGTAAAACAGTAACGCTGTCTATCTTACAGTCGAGAGTTTGAATGTTCGGTTTTAAGACTCCCCATTTCGTACTTTCCCCGCAGGAGGAAGAGGCGGCTCTTCTCGAGTCACTGCTAGGCGAAAGATAATACCGACGGGCCTTGATCGGGGCGTTAGTTGTTAGTTCCCTTTTTCTTTTTACCTTCTCCTCTTCCTCCTCTGTTACAGGCAAGTTCTCTTTCATGTAAACCCTTAAGTCATATCTTTGAAGCAGGTGTGAAGATAAGCAAGATCTCATTTTGCCATGCAAATGTGTATGTGTGTGTGTATGTCTCACGGAACATGATAGAAGTCCTTTGGCAGGAATTTAAAAACTCTTATAGGAAAGGATTTTTTTCTATGGTTTGTGTATTTATATGATGTCATGTGACTGTGATCAATATGTACAAAACGCAAAAAATCAACAATCTTGCTAACTATTCACAAATCAGACGGGAAAAAAACAAATCTCGATCCGGCCATTGATGGCGACAATTCCGTCCAAAACCTGATCCAATCTTGGATCATTTAGCTTGAGGAAAGATCTGTTGGTCCTAATGATTTAAAGGGTGTTGTGTTTAGGGTTCATATGTCTGTAAAGGGGGAACATTTCGAACATAAACATGAAACACCCGATCTGAGTCGCAGGTTGCAGAGATTCTCCTTTGTTTTGTCACTGTAAGAAACCCTAATAACAACCTGTCGAGCGACGGTCTCTGCGAGAATGTGCAGGCGTAACCATTCAACAGATTCTTCAAGTTCCCATGGAAATGGCCAATGGCATCTCGCTTTCGTGCGACGCAAGGCTGGAATTGCTCGAGGTGGACGTTCGCTTCTTCGATCTGTTCCCTTCCTGCCCGCCATTCGACATAAGGGCTTGTCCTGACTGGACTTTGGCAGGCGTTTCCTCGTGTTGGGACTCGGGGTTTCGTCCAGGAGGCTCGATTTCACGGGTCACCGTGTCAGCATCGGCGTTGCCACCGGATCCAACGACCATCCTGAAGCCGAGGGCCCGGGAAAGGAGGCGGTAGACGAAGGTGAGAAGCCAGAAAAGCCACGGGAGACAGACGAAGGTGATGCCGACGTAGGAGAGCCAGGAGGGCGGGTAAGGGAGGATGGTGTAGGCGATGAGACAGCCGCCTCCGACGGCGATGGAGAGGAGAAGGAAAAAGGTTACGAGATAGACGAAGGCCTGTCCTGCCCCAGGATCTGGCACTGCCATTTTCCCCCCGCTTACGATCGACTCTTCTTGATCACGAAACCGATCGCTCCGCCGCGTGAGAGTACGATATCAGACCAAGAAACTGAAACATGGGTTCTTGTCTTTTTCCGTCGTCCATGTTTTCGTATTTTCGTTCTCTTGTTTTGTGAATAGATATGTTGAACAAGAAAAACAGGATGAAATGTATTTTGCTATAAAAGGTAGTGTGTTTTAGCCTTTAACCCTCTTACAGTCGAGGGACCTCCGTACATAAAGGAGCCATGAAATATTCATATAATTATATAGATGGATTGAAAAACGTGATCATATGCACTAATAATATTATCATTGAATTATTTATAGTTTAAAAATAAAAAGACTGTTAATTAAATTAATTAAAAGAAAGTGAGAGAACTAAATGAAACAAAAAAAATAAAAGGGAATTTTTTTTTTGGAGTGGATTCGATGCGATTTAGTCAATGGTTGGAACTTGGAATCGTATAGGGTGAGGAATATTCGACAAATTAGTCATTTGTACCAACTCATCGATTATATCATATGCTAATATATTATAAAACCGCTCCAAACATTTACCCCATTTTATATTTGTATATATTCGTCATGCATGTATCTTATTCATAATTTTAAAAGTCTATACCATTGTAGGCAAAACATCTTTTTTACTAATTTTATTGGACCGACCACTTGTCAGTTTTTTTATTAAACCAATTCTAAATTCCAAACTCTAAACCGATTATAAACCCTAAATCTTAACTCTAGAGTTGTTAACTCAGGTACTGTACTGACCCTAATTTGTTTTTACCCTAATTTGTTTTTAAGAAGAAAAAAAACCAATTGATAAAGCATAAAGCCCAAAAAAACCTAGTCAGCTTCTTGGAAAGTTCCTTTTTCTCTTGGGTTAATCAGTCATCTACTGTTTATATACTTGGATAACTCTGAACATCATCGCCGGAGAAAATGGCAGGATTGTTCGACAAACAAGCCGATTTGTACTTGGATGCAAGGCCAACCTACCCGTCGGAATGGTACTCCAAGCTCGCCGGCATCACTCTCCGCCGTGACCTGGCCTGGGACGTCGGGACTGGCAACGGCCAGGCTGCTCTAAGCGTCAGCGTTCATCACCCTCTTCCCTATTTTTTTTTTCTCTCTCTCTCTCTTCATTTTCCGCTCACTGCAAGAGAAACTATCTGAGTTCAAATTCGAATCGGAGTTCGAATTTCTTGTAGATAACAAATGCTAGATTGATCCTGTGGTGCAATGCTTAAGATGCTTCCTGTGGTGCAATTTCTTGTAGATATCAAATGTTCAGATCGTTGATTTTCCCATAGATTTCCCTGTAGATCGTGCCAATGATTTTGCTTTCGTTGGATGCTAGATTAATCAGAAAACGTTAAACAAAAAATCGTTGAAGATCGGAAAAACTGAAACGAACAGAAACCAAATCTCCGATTTCAGAAATTACATCATGATGTGTAGTGTCTTCTCTCCCATTGATAAAGAACCCACACGAATTCAAAAACTGCGATCTGACCATTTCATTTCGGATTTCGCAAGCAGATCGCAGAGCACTACGACAGAGTCATCGCGACGGACGTAAGCGAATCGCAGCTGAAGCTCGCGATGCCGAACCCGAAGGTCGTTTACCACCACACTCCGCCATCGATGACCGACGACGAGCTCGTCGATCTGATCGGAGGAGAAAACTCCGTCGACCTCATCACGGTGGCTCAAGCCGTACACTGGTTCGACCTCCCGAGATTCTACGCGCTCGCCACGCGCCTCCTACGCAAACCCAGCGGAGTGATCGCGGTGTGGTGTTACAGCGACGTCGTAGTGAACCAAGAGTTCGACGCCGTCTTGAAGAGATTCCACACTGAAACGCTGCCGTTTTGGAAGTACCCAAACATTCAGTACCTGTTCGACGCTTACAAAACGCTGCCGTTTCCGTTTGAGGGCGTGGGAATGGGGTCCGAGGGTGAGCCTATGGAGCTAGAAATGCCCACGACGACGGCGTTCGAGGGGATCGTACGGATGCTGAGATCGTGGTCGGCGGTCGTCGCGGCCAAAGACAAAGGGTTCGATCTGTTGTCGGAAAATGTGGTGAGAGAGCTCGAGACCGCGTGGGGCGGATCTAGGCTGGTTCGCAACGTCGTCTATAAGGCTTTTATGTTAGCCGGAAGAGTTAGGGTTTGAAAGAAACGAATTAAATTAGAATTATTCTCATCAAAAAAGATAATTTTCTAAAAATAAGTGGTTATATGTATCGTGTGTTAATGGTTTTCTAATATTTAAATAAGTGGTTATTGTGCTATTCTGTTTGATATTTTGAATTTTGGTTTGATATTGATTTTTGGAATTGGTTTGGTTTCTGTTCGGATTCGATTTTCATTTTTTTAAAAAAAGATAATTTTCTAAAATATCATTCGATTTTACCGTTAAAATAAATAAAATTAAACCAAAATCCCCCCAAAAAAATATTAAAGCTAAAACCACAAAAACCGAACCGAAAAAGGAAAATTACTCATTTTACCGTTAAAGCAGCGCCAAAGTCTCCAGATTGGATCGGAGATGAAATCTCTTGTTCCGTCTCATCTCTCAACGGTGTTGTAATATTTTCATGGAACCCATTTCTTCATCCGAAACCCTAGTCTCATGAACCCACAGTAATGGAATGGCAAGGCAAATTCTGCAAAAAGTCGTCGCCTGCGATCTCGTTTTCGCGGATTCATCATCACCATTCGCGAAGCTTCTCGATTCGTGCATCCGATCAAAGTCGGCCCGAGATGTTCGTCGCGTCCATGCACTTATCGTCAAATCGCAGTTCTCAGATGAGGTATTTATACAGAACAGGCTCATTGATGCTTATGCGAAATGCAGGTGCTTGGTGGACGGGCGCAGGGTGTTCGATGAAATGTCTGTGAGAAACATTTACTCTTGGAACTCTGTCCTAACCGCTTTGACGAAGTCTGGATTTCTCGATGAGGCTGAGAGAATGTTTTGGTCGATGCCTGACCATGATCAGTGTACTTGGAATTCTATGGTTGCTGGGTTTGCGCAGCATAATAGCTTTGAAGAGGCTTTGCATTATTTCGCTTTGATGCATAAGAAGGACTTTGTGCTCAATGAATATACATTCGGCAGCGGTCTCAGTGCTTGTGCAGGTTTAATGGACATGAAAAAGGGTACCCAAATCCATGCTTTGATAGCAAAGTCACCAGGTTTGTCGGATGTTTATATAGGCTCTGCACTTGTTGACATGTATTCAAAATGTGGGAGCACAGGAAGCGCTCAGCTGGTTTTTGACGAGATGAGTGATAGAAATGTTGTGTCCTGGAATAATTTGATTACATGCTACGAACAAAATGGTCCGGCAATGGAAGCTCTCAAGGTTTTCCTCATGATGTTGAAGTCTGAGTTTGAGCCAGATGAAGTGACGTTAACAAGTGTAGTCAGTGCTTGTGCAAGCATGTCGGCACTTAAGGTTGGTCAGGAAATTCATGGACGTGCTATTAAGAATGATAAGTTAAGGGATGATCTTGTTCTCAGCAATGCCTTCGTGGACATGTATGCAAAGTGTCGCAGAATAAATGAAGCTAGGTACATATTTGATAGGATTCCAACTAAGAATATTGTGTCAGAAACTTCCATGGTCAGTGGGTATGCAAAGACTGCGAGCACAAAGGCGGCTAGACTTATGTTTACGGAAATGATAGAAAGGAATGTTATATCATGGAATGCACTTATAGCAGGCTATACCCAAAATGGGGAAAATGAAGAGGCGATCAATCTCTTCCGCATCCTGAAGAGAGAGTCAGTATGCCCAACTGACTATACTTTCGGGAATCTACTAAATGCATGTGCTAATCTTGCGGATCTGCATCTTGGTTTGCAGGCTCATGTGCATGTGCTGAAGCATGGGTTTAAATTTCAATCTTGCGAAAGGTCTGATATATTTGTGGGTAATGCCTTGATAGACATGTATGTGAAATGCGGATCTGTGGAAGATGGTTATCTTGCATTTAAGAAAATGTCGGAAAGAGATTGCGTCTCATGGAATGCAATGATTGTGGGATATGCCCAAAATGGTTATGGGATCGAGGCTCTTGCTTTGTTCCGGGAAATGCTGGATTCTGGAGAAAAACCAGACCACATTACCATGATCGGCGTTCTTTCTGCATGCAATCATTCAGGATTTGTAGAAGTAGGGAGACACTACTTTTCTTCTATGTACAGAGATTTCGGGGTGTCTCCGCATATGGACCATTACACATGTATGATTGATTTGCTTGGTCGAGCTGGGTATCTAGAAGAAGCTAAGAACATGATTGAGGAGATGCCTATGCAGCCTGACTCTGTTATATGGGGATCTTTTCTTGCTGCTTGTAAAATTCACCGGCACATCACATTAGGTGAATACGCAGCAGAGAAGCATCTTGAGATAGACCCTTCCAATTCTGGACCATATGTACTTCTCTCAAACATGTATGCTGAGCTTGGAAGATGGGGCGATGTGATGAGAGTACGGAAGTTGATGAGGAAACAAGGAGTCATTAAGCAGCCAGGGTGTAGTTGGATAGACATACAAGGACATGTCAATGTTTTCATGGTAAAGGATAAAAGGCATCCTCGCAAGAACCAAATTCGTCGGCTTCTTAAGACTCTCATGGTACAGATGAAACAAGCTGGTTATATCCCTGATACCATAAACTATGAGGAATACGAAGAGCCGGATGAGATGGAATCGGCATTGGATGACCAAATGGATCACTCAGCTGATGCTGCTTTCGGGTAATCTCATGTAAGTAAATTGCTCTATACTTTTTTATGTTATTTATTTTAATAACTGTGCAGTGATCCCATGACACCGGAAATAGGAGATAGGAAAGCCCAGAGAATATTATATCAAATGAAAAATCTCTTCGCAGAAGACCTTTTTTTTTCACTTCTTTAGTGAATCTCAGTTTTCTTCTTCAGAAGCTATACGAAGTAAATCTCGAAACATGTGAACAAACATGTTCATGAAAGACTTACATGAAAGACAGTATTTTTACCATATCCTTCAAGCTCGGGTGCCCTTGAAACTTAGTTGGGATTGGGAGCACCTACACCTCAGGATCACATAGGAAATAAACCTGTAGACTAAGATAAAACAAACCATGATCATAACATTTCTCCATCGACTCTCCTTTCCATACCCTTCTTCTCTTAGTAGACCCTCTTCAGTGACTTGGCATTTACCAAGAACATACTCCAAGCACTTGTTTGACTTGGAGAACTCATTTATCAGAAATCCTTCGAAGGGATACTTGAACAGAGAGATGTAATTCATGAAAATCCAGTAGCTGGGGATCTCGTGCTTCGATATGAAGTAGCCAGAGAACAGAAAGAACGAGCCCATGAAACCGGAAATCACTGAATTTCCGACGATGAAATTAGGAACCAGTGCACTAAAGCACACGACAACTGAGTTTGCCGTGTAAAGAATCAACCAAATCAGCAACAAAAAGTGCAGAAATGCCATGAAATTAGGGTTTAGTCCCACCAACCAGTATACTGGGACAGTGAATAGGATAGCTAGGATGAGCAGAAATGGCAAGTAGACGAGTCCATTAGCAATTGCATATGACGATACTCTGTAGCTTCCACTTGAGGTCTCCTTCATTAGAATCTCCCTTTCTTGCAGAAATATCGGCAGTGCCTCTATTGTTGTAGTTAGCACATGAAATTAGGGTTTAGTCCCACCAACCAGTATACTGGGACAGTGAATAGGATAGCTAGGATGAGCAGAAATGGCAAGTAGACGAGTCCATTAGCAATTGCATATGACGATACTCTGTAGCTTCCACTTGAGGTCTCCTTCATTAGAATCTCCCTTTCTTGCAGAAATATCGGCAGTGCCTCTATTGTTGTAGTTAGCAGGAAT